TTAAATAATATTTTACAAATAATCCGTTAGCTCAATGTTTTGTTTTTTTCCTAATCAGAAAATTTGTCCAAAGGAAAATAACATAAGAAACTATTGTAGATTTCTGCATAATTATTTAAACATGATTTAGAAATACAAAGCCAGTAAAAAAGAAGCCTACTAATAGTATTATTCAGCATTATAGAGGTTTAAAAGTGTCCGACTATGAGAAAACCTGAAAAAGGTTTAAACACACCCAAGCTAGGATGCTTTTTTTGTTCATTTATACCTTTACAAAACCCAGTGTATAACAAAGTCAAACATGTTCAGTCTTAAAGTTTTTTTTCTCCGTTTGTTCTTTACGATTAGAAATGTTTAAACCTTAAGCGCAGGTTTGCATGCGGAAATGTTTAGATGCAAGTCCACTCCTCGTTTAATTCCAGTCGTATTGCATGAATAAGCCTGTATGGGCTTTAAAGACAGCTGTTCATCAAGGCAGCCAGAAAAGCCACACGGTTATCGCCCTAAACCACGCTGCTGTTGTTGAGTTTGGTCCACTCAAAAATGTCCTGCTCACACACGATGTCGGAGTTGATGAGAAGGTAGCGATCCCCGACACAGAAGTGCTTCTGGCAGGCGGCGCACTTGAAGCACTCGAGATGGTAAACCTTGTCCCGGACGCGCATCGTCATCTCAAACGCTCGGATTCTTTTTTCGCAGGAGGCGCAGAGACCATCCTGACCGAAGAGCCTGGTGGGATGAGGCAGAAACGGGAGGTTTAGTGTTTGACCCAATATTACTGTATGTTTAAACAAGCTTCTGTTAATACCAGCAAATGTTCACCTGAGATAATCCCGACGACAGAGCTTCCTCCCCAGCTTATAGTAGAGCCTCCGGCCCACCTCTCCAAGCCGACAGCCGCAGAGGTCGCAGCTAAGGCAGTCCTCATGCCAGTACTGCTCAATGGCCTTCAGGAAGAAGCGGTCACCGATGCTCTGCTGACACCCACCACATGTCAGCAGGGATGGAGGCATCTGAAGGACCTCATCAACTGGCTCCCTGAACCAGAAATGAAACGGTTAGTATTGCTTTTTTCCCCCTGTATGTTACTTTTCCTTGCAGCCCTAGTGAAGATGGGTAAAAAGAAAACTAAAAATACACTTTTTAATTGCATAGAAAATGTTATACGAATACATTAAGATAAAGAAAAATACTTTACTGATTTTGCGAGTGTTAAATATTTCTATTGGTCTTCTGACATGCTGGAGGTTTGGACCAATAAGGACCCGTTTTAAGTTTACCAACACAGATTTCACTATAAAATAAATAATTTATTTGAAACATTCACTTTAACACTGCACTCTTACACAACTCTTAGAGGAGAAACAGGCCCACAGCATCATGGACACTCCACCAGCCTTCACAGTGTCCACTCATCAAAGGAGTCTTTGCAAAAAAGTTAAAACTGTTAAGGTTCTAGAGCTTTTACTTATTCAAATCATTTTGTTTTGTTCATTCTGTGTTATATTCAAGCTATGTTGCATTTTTTGAGTTACTCTGTTGCCTTGTTGTGCCATTCTAATTTTCCCCTTGGCTCCCTTCTAGTTACTTCTATCCACACCTGCTCCATATCAGCTGATTAGTCCATTCTTTGTTCTGTCCTCCATATTTACTTCTCATCTTCAGTTGCTTCTGATAGTTTCTTGTTGTTACTAGGCTCCCCATGCGCGTTTTCCCCCCTGACATCTCCTGGTTTTTAGTTTCCTGTATTTTGGTTCTTGGATTTTGTTTGTTTCCTTTTTAATTAAATCAGCAAAACTCCTCTCTGGCTCCTCATCTCTGCATTTAGGTCCTCAACCACCCTCCACCCCTACATTATGCCTTATTTCAGCAGCACATGGTGCCAGCGCGAGTCTCAGTTGAGATACACAAACTCCACCACTATGTTTATCATTTCATGGTTATTTCTGAGACTTTTTGTCCATATATGCTACTTTTTGCTTTATTTAACACACTGATAAATCTAGGGATGCACGATATAATCGGCCCC